TAAGTTAAAATTAAAATTATAAAAATTTTTTATTAATAAATATTTATGTAATTAGATAATAATAAATAATAATTATAAATAATAAATAGTAATTAATTGATAATGTAATTCTAATCGTCGCATTATTTCTTTAGCCAGAGATAGCAATGCATTGTATTTGGTAGTGAGTTGCGTTATTGCATTAGAAATTCTCGTGTCGGCACATGTTTCCAACAACATCTGAGCTTTCATGTTCAAGCGGTCTAGCTCTTTTTGCCAATCAAACAATGTTTGCAAATGAATCTGGAATTGTTCGAGAACGTTTTTCTTCTCTTCCAGACTATCTTGCAATTTATTGAACGTTTGAACTAACTGTTCAGTTTGCGTAAGCCATTCTGTAGCTTCGGAGAATTGATCCTCATATTCAGTCCATTTTACTATGCCGACTTCGAGCAAACTCTTTGTGTTATTCAGCGAGTCTCTGTTATAAATATGAATATAAAAAATTATAATACATATATAAAATATATTATTATAAGTAAATATTATAAAAATATTATAAAAAATATTATAAAAATACAAAATTATAAAATCTAATATCATTATATCCTTTTGTACTTAAAAAATTAAGTTTATTTTACTTACACATAATTATCATATTCTTCTTGTAATAGCGCCACTTCTTCTTCGATTATTTCTTTGTCTTCATCGTCTGCGATCTGACAAGCGGCATTACCTTGTTCTAAAGCTTTCTCCAGCTTCTTCTGACCTTCAGATAATTCACTCTGTAAAACTTTAAGCTGTGTGATTTTGCTGGCCAAAGATTCCTTATCTCCCGTAGGCTCCGAGCACTTGCTAAGTCTCTCTTTGGCTACTCGTACCCATTGAATAAATTCATTACCGCTATCGATGAAGGCCTGATGCTGTTCGACAGTCTCCTTTTGCTTCGCATATAATTCTTGAGCTTGTTTACTCAGAGTCTCATATTTAATCGAAATCTCCGTGGCCGGTGTCGCTTGTTGCAAGTCTTCGGCCTTTGTGGTGACTGATTGAATCATTGGCTCAAACGCCACAATATCTTGTACGATGCTGTTAGTTTGTCGCAAGTTCGCCTTTCTTTCTCCAATTGCCAAAGAGCTCAATCCAACTAAGCCTTTTCGAGCTTTGGAAACTTTTTGCTCGCACACTTGTTGCAGTTTAGCCTCACGATCACTAATCCACTGCTGCAGCTGCGAATATGACGAACTGTAATCCGCCCATTGCAACAGACTCGTCTCGAGATGTACTTTTGTGGTTGAAATCTTTTTTACCAGGCGCTCCCAATCGTTTTGAATCTCTTTCAACTGAGCGTTGATCTCTTCACGACCATCCGATCGCGTGTTTCTCATGACTTTCTCGCCACAATTTACAGTGAGATGTATCAGGTTCTGACCTTCCTCGCGTTTTCTTAATAATTCCTGGATTTTATCAAGTCTATTCTGTAATTCTTCGCGACTGCTACTCGAGGCAGCTTCTGTTCCTTGACGTATAATTTGCTTGGCATTCTCGATCCAGTCACGGGCTTTCTCAAGATTGCTTTCATATTCTTGATGTTGAGTTAGATTGGTTTCAACTTTGTTTAATACATCTTTTGCGAGATTCACTTGCACCTGGTAACGTGAATTCAAATGTCGCAACTGATTGTTGACGTAAGTATCCAAGTGAGACGAAAGTAGACCGGTAGCCGTTTTGTTGAATTTATCAATCTGCTCTTGGCCTTGTATTAAGTTATCGAGCAGTTCCCTTACTTCTTTCACCTGCTTCTCCTTTTCTTTCAGATTCGGCAAAAGAGCATTTTTTTGAGCTTTGATGAGAATGTCAAACTGTTGCAACCAGTCGCTGAGTCTCTCGTATTCATCTTTATAATCCCGCCATTGACTCACAGTAGCTTCCAATTGATTCTTCTGTTGTTGAATTTCTGCAATAGAATATGTTTATTAATACATTTAAAACTGCAATTATTTCTTTTTGTAGATTAAAAATTATTATTGGTTATTATTATTGATTACTCGCGATTATTTCAATATTTTTTTTGTATTTTAAATTATCAACATTGATTTCTTAATAAACAATATTTGAATAACTCTTACCTTTGAATAATCCTTCGAAACTTTCTGTGAGTGCTCGTATTTCGTTCCTGATAACTTCTTGTCCGATGGGACTAGTACTGGCGCAAACAACATTTCCAGTATGCTGCAAATGTTCCACCAACAATTCACCTTGAGCTTTCTTATTCAACAAACTTTCGAGCGGTACCACTGCACTCTCGATCGCTAGTTTATCACTAAGTGATCTCTGTTTCATAGATGGTATTTTCTCGCGAGCCCGGCTAAGCCAACCGATAAGATCATCGTGAGCTTCTTTGTAAAGGCGGTGATCTTTATACTGTTCCTCTCGTTCAGCCAATAAAGATTTAATCTTCTCAAAAAGTTCGTCGAATCTGTTCAGTATATCTTGAGCTTGCGAGGCAGCTAATCCTTGCTGACCACTCGCAATCATCTCAGCGACTTTGCATTTGAGACTATCAACCTCAATATTCTCGCAACGAACTTTCTCCTCGAGTACTTTGATTCTCTCCAATTGATTTCTTTTTTCTGACATCGTTGTTTGAAACTGTGAAATCTCATCGATCGATGTTTGCATGTATTCCACCGTCTTCTTAATAGATTGTATTTGTTCCAATAAACCGGCCCATTTGTTTATTGAATCGTCCAAGTTTGTTTTGGTTTCTAGCATCTTTGACGCCAAGGTGCTCCATTGTTCCTGAAGTTTCGCTAAAGCGTCATTAATAGTTTGATGGCCAGCAGGAGCTGTATTCGCTAGAACAGCCTGGGCTAGTTCAACAATACCTTGAACCTTTGCAAAACCGTCCTCTTTATATAATAATAGATCTTGTACGATATCCATTTTTTGTTCCAAATCTTTCTGCGAAGATGCGCTTAAGTCAGAGCAGTATGCCAGTTTATTTTTTATGTCTTCCAACCATGTGGTGCATTCTGCCAATTGATTGTCGAAATCTTGATGCGTGGTAACATACTGATGCCAACGATTATTGAGCTCTTTGACTTTGCTAGAAATCTGTTGATATTTGATACTCAAATCCGATATGTAAGAAGTGCGAGAAGTAACAGTTTTATGCAGTTGCTGAGCTCGCTCAGCAACGGCGTCAATTTCTAGTTCTTTAGCGCGAACTTCACCTTGAAGAGTGCGTAATTTTTCGAGTTGAGTCTTTTTCTCTGCCAAAGTGGACTTGAGATCGACGGCATGTAACTTTGTGTCAGTGTCTCTCATCCATGCTAAACATCGTTCCTTCGATATCTCAAATTCGCTCCATTGTTGAAGCTTGTTCTCCAAAGACTCGATAGTAGACTTAACCGCTGAGATTAAGCCTTCCCATTCTTGTTGCGAAGAATCAATCTGCGAGCGGATGTTTATCTGTCCTGATTCCAAAGTACCGGGTATTACTTTTTCGCCCAGAGACTTGATTTGCTGCACTCGCGATTCATCTTCCGGCAGATTGTGCAATAGATTCTTTAGGCGATCCAAATTTGTGTGCAAGGATACTCTCTCTAGTTCCACGTCACCCCAAAGACTCACAGCATTGTGAGTGGCATCCAGCCATTCATGCGTATCTAAAACAGCTTTGCTATACTGTTGATGATCGCTCACTATGCCTTCATACCTTTCTACGAATTTCATCGCGCGTTTTAGTAATATATTGTATCTATTCGTTAAATTATTCAGCGTTTGATCGATCTTATCGGTACGATCGGGCAAATTATCTGCTTTATCTCGGAGATCCAGTAAGTCTTGCTGATGCGTTTGAGCATCATGCAAAATGGTGCGATAGATCTGTAATTGGGCACGTTTTTCATCCAGAGTAGTTTTTAGTTCAATTTCTGGCTTCAATTGAGCTTCTGTATTTTTCAACCAGTTCTCGAAGGTCTCGCTGCATTCGTCGAAACCGGACCACCGCGAGATCTTCGCCTGTAACTCACGTTCAGTCAAAGCGATACCGTCATAAAGCTCTTCGAAGGCTTGCTGGAGATCCAGTAATTGCTGACGAATAATCTCTCGGCCCTCTGTGCCGGTCATAGGATACAATCGTTCGCCAGCCTCGACAGTGCTGTTTATCAAGAGAGTAGACGAGGATTGACGAGCCAAAAGCTCTTTTAAGGTTTCCACATTTGAAATCAGCTTTTGACGAGTATCACTGACATTTTCCTTGGAGGACTGATAACGCACTCTTGCATTCGCTAGCCATTCGGAACACTGTTTATAACGATCTAAATAGCTAGCATGATCAATTACTGCTTGTTCGCATTTTTTTACCAGTTCCTGAAACAGAATTATATAAAGATTTTCATTGCGAGAAAAGATATTTTCCATGACATATTTTGTGATGTTATTAATTATATTGATAACACAAAAAAAATTAATTAGAAAATACTAATTTTATTTAATTTTCATTTATTATAAATAAATTAAAAATAAATTTATAATAATTATGATACAAAGTTTTGATCTGCTACATTAAATGCGCTGAAGCAATGGGGTTAATAATTAAATTTCTTTTACAATATAAAAAATAAATAAAGTTTTATTTGTAATTTTTTTCTATTTTGATAGTATTTGTCTTATGAAGATATCGTATATATATAGTTATACTACCTTAGCGGTCGCCTGAATTGATTGGAAACGTGATGTGACTTGTTGAACGCTGACAGAAAATCGAGTTTCGCCACTGATCTGCATCAATTCCGACGAATCATCACTCATTTTATCGAATTCGGCTTCATTTTGCCGGAGATTTACAATCAGTGACTGAAAAAAAATCATATTTATATTTAACTGTTTTTAAGTGAGATTCTAATTAAAGAGCTGTTCCGCATAATTTAGATGCGAAATAAGGAAGTAGAAAATTCTCTCTTCTTACGTGCAGAAGCCTGTTTGAGTAATGTGGTTAGATTATTATTACTTAAGTGTTAAACGTGAAGAAATATGCACTAACAATAAGTATAAAAAGTAGAGTTTAATATTCCATCCCGATGTATCAAACTCGTTTGTTCTCGTTGTAAATTTCAGCGCCAAAGAAGCTCTCCATTCGTGAAGCAAAAGCGCAATATTTACTAAACATAAATAGATAGCCGCCAAAAGTATAACAAAAATTCATCTAGCTGATGCATAAATAAATAATTGTTTAGTATTATGAGTGCTTAAAACAACATTAATGTTTATATGGCGAGAGAAAATAATTTAGAAAATAATTTAATCATATTTTTAATCAGATTTAATATTGATGAAAAACACTGATTTTATTTAATAAAATGGCATACGTATCTCATATTACTCTAATCAGATATGTCGTTTAATATATAATAATAATCACAAGGTGAAGCGTTGATATCTCCCACCTGCTTTGACAAAAAGCTATAAAAGCTATAAAAGTTGAAAGATTACATAAGAAAAGAGCAATTGTCGAAGACTCCTCGTAAAGCCGTTGCAATCATCCGCCTCTCTCGCAATCATTTCTTGTTACAAAATGATATTTGCAATTTGCATATCACTCTCTTACTTGTTCGAGATGATCGCCAAGCGCAACCAGTTCTGTCACGTCCATGTTCTGCGAATCGGCGACCTTCTGTAGTTCCTAGGAAATTTTATTACACATAATCATTGTGCGTGAGAGATAATTATGCTCTACGATTGGAGATAAAAGTTTGCGTAGATAGGGGCTTTCTCCTCTCTTCGTCGATTTAAAAATATGCATGATCTATCGTATGAGACGTATAAAGAAAGAAAAAACAACGTTAATATTATAAAATTTATGTTACATTCATGTGTATGAAAGATGTCAGTGCGTGTAAAGAAAACAGCTACATCTAATCGTAATTAAAACTGGATACTTTAAATGTGCACACCTCAAATTATGTTACTATTTCATGTGGGAAAATTTTGTGATAAGGGATAAACACAAAGCGATCTTTAAATAATCGATATTCGTTAAATAGAACATTTATCAAATTTATATATATAAAGCCAAAAGAAAACTGCATTTCTATAATGCAACTTGTTGTAATAATTTTGAACTTACTTGATATTTTTCAAGTTGCTCCTGCTTCTCTTCAAGCGTGTTCTTCAGACAATAGTTCTTCAATGATGTCTCGGCATCAGTAAGCCAAGCAAGCAAACGTTCTAATGAATTTTCGTATTCACTCCATTGTTGTATTCTTTCTTCGATGCAACGTACCACATCGTTTACGGCTGTAGTGAATTTCTTATTTTCGAATCTAGAAAGTCATCCAATGTTCATTTATGTGATTGACAATGAAATTGTTTAATTTCTAAATACTCTTTCTTTTAATAAATAAAATTATTCTTTTAATAAATATAATTTTTTATTATTTTCTTTTTTACAATATTTACCTAAGATTCGCTAAATCTCTTTCCATAGATTCTTGCGAGCGAGGTGGCAAAGTATGCGCACTCTGCGCAACATGTTCTTCAAGGACGTTCAGTTTTATTTCACCTTCGCTTTGACTGTCCTGTATCTCTATAATTTTAGCTAATCTAGCTTGAAGAGCAGTTTTGTTTCCTGTATAGTCACTGTAATTTGCTAAACGTTCCCATTGACGTTTCTGGTAATCTTGATAAGCTTTCTGAAGATCGTGGAACTGCTGGAAAATATTGAGTAATGCTTCCAAGCTCAATATTCCTTTCTGAGATGTATCCACTAACTTTTCGTATCTCTTTGAAACTGAAATGACTTTTTCATGAACGTTTGATGGAACTTGAGTAACTTGAACCAAAGCGTTAGCTTTTTCGGAAATGCCTTCGATGAGACGTTTATGAGCCAAGATTTCTTGATGTAATGTCTAAAAGAAAAATTTCCAAGATAATATGATTATTGATTTTCATATTGTGTTTTTTTATATATTCTCAGATAATAATATAAAATTATTCAGATAATAATATAATATTAAAAAGATATAAGAAACCTTCAATTTGAGTAGTTTTGATCTTATTTCTGGCAAGGAGGACCACATCATCGAGGAATCTTGTTTAACTGCACGTTCCATTGTATCTAACCAAGTGAGAATCTGTTGTAGAGTTTCTTGATAACTAGACCATTGTAAAGATTGAGCATCTTGCTTTTTCTGTTGCTCTGTGATGCCTTCTGCCAAACGATCCCATCTTTCGCGAGCGTTTCGCAATTCATGTCTGATTACTTCACGCCCTTGAGCGGAAGTGTCTGGAAGAATCCTTTCACCGAGAGACGTTAAGCTAGTTAAACGGTGTTCAGCTTGCTCTTTTTCGGCTAGCAAAACTTGTAAACGCGAGTTCCTCGCTTCGAGATCTCCACCAATCTCATCTTCCTTCAAAATAGCTAAGTTTTTTTCGAGAGGTGTAAGCCAAACATCAATAGCTTTCAATTTTTCTTCGTAAGCGCGATGATCATCTACGATGCTTTGGCAACGGTTTATTACTTCCTTACTAAGCACGTGCAACAATTGATATCTAAACATTTAATTTGAACTTAATTAATGTCTTATTATTTTTATTATATCTTTATTTATTTATATCTTTATTTATACAAATTGTTAATTATTTACTTGTTTAAATGTTCATATACGATTACAATAAATCATGCATTTTTAAAACATATTCAGTTTTAAAATTTTTATTTTACGAGATTGAATTTTTCCAATTCTTACTTGCCATATAACTATTAAGATTTTATTACATACACGTATGCAAGGATGATAAATATAAAGATAGTTCTCTTGTTGGAATAATTCGACATACCTGTTGCTAACTTGGGAAATTAATGGCTTGATGCGTTCAATACCACTCGCGTGCAGTAAACTATGTGACTTGTCCACGAATTCATCTATCTCCCGCTCTTGCTGCGCAATAATCTCACGTTTCTCTTTAAACGCGCGAAGTTGTGCTTCTTTATCTTTTAACGTAGACTGCAACTGTTGATCTCGGAATGTCGCCTCCATAGAACGGAACCATTTTGTGTGAGCTTCGAGCTGATCTTCAAAATTCTGCCATCTTTTCAAAGCTGCTTTCTGTCGCTCCTCTACAGATTCTGAAAAGCAAAATTTTCTAATGAAATGACTGCGATAAACGGAAGTAATGAATTAAATAACTTTATACAGGGATGATTTTTCTATATAATTTTGAAACCACAAAAAATAAAATTTGTAATATATGTTATATATTTGTAATATATTAATATATTACCAATTTCATTCAGGAATTGGCGCAGATTATTTTCCAAGGTAATCACTTCCTTGTTGATAACTTCTCGACCTTTCGGCGCGGTGCTATTAGCCACAGCTTCACTGAATTCCTTTAACTTGGTGAGATGTTCTGCTCCCTGTGCCTGGTCATCTTTTAACAATGTTAAGCTCGTTAATCTACGAGATATTTCAGATCGTTCACCCGTTATATCATTGCATTCTCCTAGCTTTTCTCGTTCTCCATTTAACCAGTCGGAGAAGCATTTACATTGAAGATTGAAACGGTGATGTTTTTCGCAACAATCCTCTAAATTTTCTAACAAATCTCGAGACTTGGCGACGATATTCTGAAAGAGCTGTTTGATGGATTGCAAATAGACATTCAAAGAAGTGTCCTTCGTCTGATCGACCAATTGTTGCGCTTTGTCGCAAACCGATTCGACCAACGTCTGATGTGACATGATTTCCTGGTGCATGATCTTGTGATTTTGCAATTGTGCGCGCTTTTCCTCCAGCGATGATTTCAGTTCTGTGTGCTGATGCATTGCGCGCTCGACGTCTCGCAGCCAAGTCGTTAATTGCTCTTGAGACAATGAAAACTCAGCGAACTGCATTAGACATTGATCTAATTTCTGCATCGAACTTTGCAAATCCTCGGAAAATCCGTCCCACATGCTGCGTAGATTTCTCAATTGTTGTCTGATTATCTCTCTACCATCCGGTGAAGTGTGCACATAAAGTTTCTCACCGAGATCGATGACAGATTCGAAACGAGCATTCTCGCGAGTTCGAACGTCACCGAGATCCCTGATATGCTTCTGTCTGCTTTGTAGCACCGCCAAATCGCCAACAATTTCGCTATGTTTCTTCAACTCGTTCTGAACTTCATTGATCCAATTCAAGAATTGATTATACTTTTCGTTAAACAGATTGTGCTCTTTTACATATTGCTCGTATCTCGCTACAACTTCTTTTGCTTGATTCCTGATTGCTTGGTATCTAGTAGCTTGACGAGATACTTTAGTAACCAAGTCGGATTCCGCTTCTACGCCTTGACTTTTCTCAACCACAGCGTTAAATTCTGTGCCCTTTGTTATGATAGCCTCTTCGAGGGATTTCAATTTTTGTAAGTGCGCGCGTTTAGTTTCCTCAGTACTCTTCAAGCTTTGATCTTTCACCTGCATTTCGATTTGTTTGAGCCAAGATTCTAGGCTCTCGACTACTTTTTCAAATTCGGACCATTGGTTGAATAGATGATTCAATTTATCTCTGCTTGAGGCGCATCGTTGGAGGAAATCCTCCCAAACTTTTTTCTGCTGTTCGAAACCTTTCAATAATGTGGAGTGACCAGCTATCGAGGTTTGCTCCAAAATGATATTTAATTGCTGATTGCAATCGGCTATAATTCTATCGCCCTCTGGTTTTTGTTGCAATACGTTCTCGATTAAAACAATCTTAGATTTAGCTGCATCTCGATCTATTGAGAGATCCTCACTGATGGGCGCCGCTTCGTTTACTACCGTGTTAATCCAATCTCGCGTCTTCTCGAACGTCTGAAGATAGGCCTCATGATTTGCAACGTACTTTTCCATTATACCGATTCTATCATCTACGTCTTCCGATAGCTTTTCATGCGCTTCAATCACGCTATTGAGCATCTCGCTAGCTTCGTCGTCTGGTGCTGTTCCGAGCCTGTCCTGAAGTTGTTCCAAGATATTTCGATGAACTCCTACATCTTGTGCAATAGCTTTATACAAATGCAAAGCGAGTTTCTTTTCTTGAAGCGACGGTAGCAGATCTTGCTTGTCACCTAATTTCTTTCGTGCCTCAACTAACCACTGCTTTACTTGGGAATACTTGTCCTCGAATGAGGATCGATGCATCATGTCGCTCTCGATTTTCTTATAAATTACGTTTGTGCGATCGGCCAATGCTTCCATCCGACTACGCAAATTTCGTAGCTCACTTCTGATGAGTTCCCTGTGATCTGGTGTTATCCTCGCGAAAAGTGTTTCACCCGCTTCCGCTGTTCGATTTAAAATTGCTTGTCCAGTTTCGCGTTCCTCCCCAAACGCTTTTAATTCTTTCAAGCGAGACTGATAGAAGGTCATTGGTTTCGGACCGCTGATCTCGTTAAAAGTTTTCAATTTCTGCTCCGCGTTTAGTAACCACGATTCCAGTTCCTTTACATTAGCAGCATATTGGCCTTTAATTTGTTTGAGTTCTCTGAGTCTGTCTAAATGTTGAACCAAAAATTTAAGAACCGAATGATAACGCGTATTTAAATGTCCGACATATTGAGTCACGCGAGATTCTGGATTAACTTTGGTTATTTCCTCTCCGAGTGCGATCAGATCCTTCATCTCGTTTTCATAATTCTCGACTTTTTCCTTAAGTTGTGTTATTTCAGCAATCTTTGCATCGATCTCGTTTGGATTTAGAAGCATCGTGGCCTCCATTCTGATTTTATTTTCGTTCTCTTTGAGCCAGGAAATTACGTTTTCTGATGTAAATTCGTATCGTTGCCACAAAGCAATATTTTCTTGCAGTACAGATTTGATTTTGCGATAGCTGTCTTTCAAGGACTCCAGGTCGGCAGTAACTTTGTCGCGTTCGTCTCTAAGAGCAGAAATGATCTCGCTGCTCTCGACAGTGCTTAGAAGTGTCAATGAATTATCTGTATCCACTTTTCGAGTCTCGCAATCAGCAATACCATCTTCCACATCGATCAACGAGGCCATCTTTACCTCAAGATTATAACGATCGCTGCTCTGTTCGGGTTCGCACCAGGCTACTTTTTCCTTGTGAGTTGCTACTAAGCGTTGCAGAGCGCCAAACTTTTCGTGATAGAGTTTTGTCAAGAAGGCTACCAACGTTGCGTTAACCTTGTCAGCATGACTAGCTACGCCGTCTTTACGGAGTTGCAATGCTTGCAGTTCTTTTGGTAAGCTAGATTTCGATATAGTTGGATATTCTGATACCATATCTGTTAATTTCTCGTCAAGTTCTGAAAGTGTGTAATCGCACTTTTCCAGTTCGGTCTTCAATTCTTGACATTTATTGATTCTATACATAATCTTAGTATTCTCGCCAGTTAAATCATCGCACTTGATTATCTCTTCGCGAATCTTTGATATCGTATCACTACATTTCTTCAACTCCTGCCTGATATTTTTTTCTTTCTCGTTGAAAGTTGAGGTGAACGACGCGAGGTTATTTGCGGCCTGTTTAACAACCTTAAATTGATCATCCAATAAATCATTAAGGGATTCCAAAGTTGATATGCTCGCGTCATCGTTCAGTTTGACGAGTTGTTCGCTCTTCGTGGCGATACCTTGACGAAGTTGTTGATATATTGGTAATTCCTCGCGATATTTAATCAATAATGCTTGTCCATTCTCAGCGTCGAGTAAACGATCACAAGCCGCAATGAGCGCCTCATTCGTGTCGCTAAGCCACTTTGTAAGTTCATATTTTGCTTCTTCGATCTGCTTCCAGATGATAACCTGTGTTTCGTACGTTTGAGTCCGATCGATTACTTTAGCATTAATCTCGTTATATTTTTTTCGTATATTGGATAAATCCGATTCGATTAGACTTGTCTTGAAGTTCGGCATTAACGATGTCTCTTTCGCTAATTGTTGCGCCTTGCCATCCATTTTATCCAGAAATATTTTACCCTTCTTTAAAATCTCTGAAGCTCTCTTATGTTTTTCCAAAGCAACATTTGCCTGGGTGATATCAGTTGACACATCTTTGACCGACTGACAAAGGTTCTTCGCTTCGTCAATGAACTTGTTTAACTTATCCTTAGCTTCCTGATACTGTTTCCAGTCGGCATCCATTTCAGCATATTTCCTTCTCTGCTCACGCAGAAGTTCATTAACCTTTTCCCAGTTTCCATCCACTGAAGAAACTACTACCTGAATATTAGTTATCGCTCGTTGATCCTCCTTCATCAAATTGTCACCTTCTTGATGAAGGCTTTCTTTTTCCGATTCTCGTCTTTGATGATCTTCGATTAAATCGTCTATCTTTTCGATTGCCGGCGTGAGTTTTTCGCAAATATCAACGGTATATGTGATGTTTTGCAAGCTCGTCTGAGTGTTGACAATTTTTTCCGTAATTTTTTGTTGTAATTTTCTAAAGTTATCCCATTTAGCATCGAGATTCTCCAATTTGTCTCTCTTAGCAGATAATTCTGTCTTCAAAGCTGTGGCCTTGGACTCAAGATCATTCAGTAAAGAAGTTGCAGTAATTGGTCTCTCTTGCTTGTCACGAATATGTATTCCCAGAGTGCTATCCATTAACGGGACAAGTTCCTTCCAAGTATTGATCTTTGTATGTACAACTTGAAGTTCCGAAGAAAATCTATCGAGATCAGCGATAGTTGGTTTTCTAGCTTCAGATTCATATTTACAATGATTTAATTGCGCATTGGCGTCATTATGCCAGTTCAAAAGTTCGATCCACTTTTCTAAGCCTTTCTTCTTTTCTTTTAAGTCATCTTCGAGCGCCTTGTATTTCTTCGCTAATGACGTGTAAGTTTCATCCAATGCGGCGGCTTCCAACATAGAACCTCGCGATGATAATTGTTTTACTTCGTTGTAAATCGTTGTAAATGCCGGTTGTTTTTCCGAATGTTCTTGAAGATAAGCATGCATTGTTTGCAAATTAGTATCAACATTATCCACATTTACGTCTCCGATTTCATTGATATTAGATCTCAATCTTGTCATCCAATTTTCAAAGTCGGTGATCTTCATCTGGAATTCTTGTCTAGCTAACAACGAGTCAGAGACACGATTAATGTAATGTCGAACTGTGTCTGCGAGTTTGCTTACTCTAATCTTCATTTCAGCAACGCGACCTTTCAATGCGGAGGCGCCGTCTAGCGATAAACCATGGCTAATATGATCGGAAACTTGAGTCAGTGATATCAGTTGAGCTTGATGATCGGATATACTCTTGTTGAATTCTTTCAAATGTGCCAATTCCTTTTCCAACTTTGCGGCTTCGGGTGTTTGAACATTGGGTTCTTTGAGAGCTTCCCTTTCACTATTCTGCAACCATTCATTAAACTCTTTTGCTTCTGATTCGAAGGTGTTCCATGATGAGACTAATTTATCAAGTTTGGTCGTCGTTTGTACTGCCACGTCATGAACTGCGTTCCACCGCGTATATACAGCGTCGACTTCATCAGGTGCCACTGTTCTTCCAGTTATCTGCTGACTAATCGTTGACAAACTCTGGACTTTTGGAAGATATTGTTGACATTGAACTTGAAAAGCCTTGGCTGATCCTAACATTTGCGTGGCTTGAGCCAAAGTAGTAGGCTTGCTGCCCATCGTAGCTGCCTTCGACTCCGCTTGTTCAATCCAAGGTTTTATCTTCTGAATGCCTTCTTCATATTCTCTCCATGTTGCAAGATTTTGTGTAGCCAATTCACGTTGCGTTATTATGCTCTTATTCAACGATTCAACTGCCTTATGAAGATTCTCAATGTCGCCACGGAGTTGTTTTGCCGGTGTATCATCACTATCTTCTATATATGTAAAAAAAATAAATATTTTTATATTAGAATATTTTTAGAGCAGTTGTTACATTATATTTAATTAAATTCTATTTAAATCTGTCAAATATTAGATCAGGACTCTCGGCATGATTTGCATTTCTCGGTCGATTTTCGACTCGATTCCGCCTTTCGCTCTTCTCATCTCATCACTCTGTACGCGGTCCAAATGCCACTTGACATTTAGGAATATATGACGCTTGTAAACATGATGTCCCCGCTTTGGGCGCTCACGTTATAAACTTCATTCTATATCTTTTTTTTCCGTTCATTACATAAAGATAGAATGAAGCAACGCGTAAACGCTTATCTTAGTTAGTAGTAGTCCTTATGTCTACGAGTCTTATATCATACGCTCCTAAATGTCAAGCGGCATTTGGATTGCACACGGGTGAGAAGAGTAGCGGAAGGCAGAATCAAGTTGAAAATCGACCGAAAAGTGCAAATTGTGCTGAATCCTGTATTAGATACATTCAAATTACATTTTTATGTTTTTTACTAATAACTGATTATTTTATTAAATAAATCTTTATAAAACACTAAAAAAAAATGATATAAAAAAATATTTCTTTATGAAAGAATTATATATAAAAAAATTGCCTCTAATTTATTTATAGTATTTATACAATAGAAATTTCATATCTAGATTTTAGCTGTAACATATAAAAAATAAACATTAAGCAAATTAAATTAAATTTGTGCGTTTTTAATTCAATATGAAACAAACAAAAAATCGTATATTCACCTTTCACAAGTTTCCGGGATTCGTCTTCTAATGCATTTAAAATTAATACTTTTTCCTTGATTTCTTTCTGTAGATTTTCTGTTTTACGAACTTTTTCCTCAGGTGATGCTGTAGAATCTTCTATGTTTGCAACTGATTGAGGCGCAGCTTGCTGAACCCAAGATCGGAGCTCCACAAGCTTTGATTGAAATTTATTCCATTGAGTGCTATGTTCCTGAAGATAAACAACTTTTTCGCGCACAATCTTTAACGTGTGTTCTATCTTCTGTTCAGTTTCCGTCACTTCTTTTTCTAAAATCTCTTGTTTGCTTGATGGTGCGGATGTTTGAGAAAGATTAGTATATGTTTCGCGCAATTTCCTTATCATTTCTTCGGCTGACTTTTTCAAATTTGTATTGAATTCCTGTTTCTTCTGCAGGTCGGAAGATACTTGAGCGGCATCGTAATAAGATGCTAATTCAATTTGACGCAATTCTTTCTCAGCTTGTTCAATCAATCTCAAAATCTCGTTCTTTTGTTCTTGATAAGTGTTCCAGAGTTTCTGTGATTCTTTTAAAGATTTTAATATCTCCATGCTTTGGCCATATGTATCGTTCCAGTTAGCTTCTAATTGTTGAACTTCAGAAGAGACGAAAGGTGGAGCATGTTGATCTTTCAGAAGATCTTTACCGCGTTGTAACATACTGACAATGGTTGCTCGCTGTTGCTCTAATTGATTAAGACGGGATTCCTGATGAGTCACGGCGTTTTGTAATTTTTCAGGAACCTCAGGTGTGACTTCAACTTTTGATTGTTCGCGAACTTTGCGCAACAAAGTGCATACTTCGCGTACTTCTTTGCGATAAGTATAACTTTTCGAATAGATGTCTGTCTTCGTCATTGTAATTTCGATCGTTGGAATCAAATTCTTATATCGAGTTATCAGTTGCTCCAAATTTTGCTGCGCAGTGAGTGCTTCGCGATCCGAACGATTCAATGTCAAGTTGTCGAGAGTTTGAACCAGCCATTTCATTTCTTCACGCTTGCTATCAGCTTCGCGACAGATTTTCTGTGAACAATCAATAATATTTTTTTATATTAATTATATTAATTTTATATTAATTATTTGACTAAAGTGATTTATCAACATTTGATGAAAGAGATGAAAAAGACATGATAAACAAAAGTACTGTTTTTCTCAGAAAATTTTTTTTAATAATTATTTTTTTAATAATTATTGATTAATATTTATGGATAAATTAAATGAAAATTAAATCTGTATTCATTAAAAATTTTATTTCAAGAGAAATCATCATTGAACTCTTAAGTGAAGAGCTCTAAAAAGAATAATTAAACATAGAAGTGCGCGTATATTTACCGTCAAGGTCTGGAGCTATCCGGAAGGAACGCAAAAAAGGCGAAGCAAAGTATTTAAATATTTCAATGACATGATAGAGGAATTGTATGTGAAACTGGCCAATACTAACCTGAAATATAGTCTTCTCTTTCTCAAATTCTTCTAAAGTATTGACTTCATGTAAAATGGTTCTCAACGTACTGTCAACATGGTCCATCCAATGTACCATCTCATCGAACCTAGAATTAATTGCACATTATTTAAAGGAAGAAATTGGCGCTAATCTACTATACTGAAGTTAAATAAGTGCTTACTTCTGTCTATAAGTTGCCCATTGTTGTGGAATTTCTCGCAATTGTTCCCTTAAGTTCTCCACTTTTTGTGCAGTTTCTTCCCACAAACGTTCGGCATTTTGCGCGGCATCAACCAAGCTAGTATCTTTTGGCTTGAGTTTGTTGTAAGCATCACTTATCTTTTTCAAGGTCTGTAGACAACGCTCGACTTCGAGAACGGTGCCGCGGTTCACGAAAAATTCTTTATTGCGCTGTTGAATACCATCCACATCGTCATTGTTAATAAGTGCTTGCTGCTCAGAACTAATTTCCATCTCGATTTCTTTGAGATATTGAAGGAAGCTAGCCTCATCTAGGCGGAACTCGAGCTTCATCAAATGAAGCGGCGCAAAAGTGAGTATTTCTCTCCAACGATTCTGAAGATTCTCTACCGTTTTTGCGACGGGAAATTGTTGATCAACTGGTAATACATTCCGAAGATCTTGGCCGGCCTTCACGAGATCTTGTATCCACTTTTCATTGACTTTGCCGAAGAAATTTTTGTGATATTCGACGGATTGACGATTATCAATGTGCTTTTCATTGATCATTGTTTCTGCAATCGAAAGCCATTCAGAGATTTGTCGCTCGCACTCTTTAAATTTCGTCCAACGGCGCACAGATTCTTGTAAACGTTGTTCCCAGACTTGCGCTGCTTGAGAGATCTTAATAAATCGATCATTAAGTTCTCTTAAGGTAGCTCCACCTTCGGCAGTCTCTACGTCGGCATGACTATCCACAGCCTTGACGATGTTAGCGAATACTTTATTCTTAGATTCCAGCATAGATTTATAGTAAAGTGTTCTCGAGAAAAAGGCTTTATGACGATCTAATTGAGCCAAGGCAGCGTCTCTACCACCTGCGAGATTGATGTTGGCCAAAAAATTTTCGGCTTCATCTAACCACGCAGATATCTCTTTCTGCCCTGCTTCTAGAGATTCTTGTTGCACCAATAATTGATGATACAAGTGCAATTGCATCGGAATCAAAGCACGTACCTTAACAAGAGTTTCTTTCTCTTTCTTTAGAGTGTTCATCATTTTATCGACTTCGTCGCGGGACAAATCCTGGATAAGAGTTTGGAATTTTTTACTGATATTTTTAAAGAGATTTTCAATGTCCTCGACTTCATTGTGAAGAGTCTGCAGTTTCTCTCCGTAAGCTTTGATCCGTTCGGTGGAGCTTAATCCGGTAGTTGATAAAGCAGCCTCGGCATCTCTTAACCAATTCTGCAAAGTCTCTACTCCCGCCTTGTAATCCTTTCTCGTTCGAATGAGATCACCCGCATGCATGTACTGTTTGGCCTCTTGGAAGAGCTGTTCCCATCTTGCTGTCAGATTTGCGTAACGCTCCTTCAATCGAAATGCTACCGATTCATCGGATGTGGCAATTAGAAAGCTTACAGTATCCGACAATTGTTGATGCTTATCTTTCCATACGCTGATATCTTGAAAGAACTCCATTCTTTCCTCCTCTGGGAGATTCAGGACAGGTTCAGCACGAAGTAGCCATGCTTCGAATTCATCTGAGACAATAGTCCAACGACGCCAATATGCGACAACTTCTTCGAGCATACTCTGGACGCAGCGCAAATCCATCGACACGTTTTTCCATTTTTCGGCCGTCTCGCGCATAAAACGATCAACGTTGAGGTTCTCTTCTCGATCTAAAAAGCACGAATTTATAATACTGTTTCGATGAGACTAAAGTTATTGTTTACGTACTTAAGGAATTTTAATATATAATAAAATTAATTTATTATATTTGAATTAATTGTTATTTAATTATTTTATTTGATGTAATTATATTTAATTGTTAATAATCCTTTGTATTTATTAATAAATTTATTATTGACTATCACATTTAAATGAATATTAACCTATAATTGAAAATTACTTTAATTATTTAATTATTTAAAATATTTTCATTTACCAATATCAACGTCACGCTTGTATTCTTCTGCGACTTGCTGCATATCCAAGTAAGCCTTTTGAAATTCCTGGAATATTCTATTTCGAGAAACAAAGTTACGATATTGCTCCAACATCTGATGCACTTTCTCCTCCGTCCCATATTTAATGTTCCAGCCTTTCAATTTGGTCTCGACGAGATATAGGAAAGCAATCAAACAACATTTGTGTTCTAAGAACTTTAATTTCACCCTTCTTTTAGCGGCACGATCAGGCAAACTATCGAAGCGCGCGGACATATTATCTAATTGTTCAGGCCGGACTTGTCGCGCCAACAGCGAGTTCTTGGCGTGTTGGAATTTCTCCGTCATTGTCGGTAAATCGAGGAAAAATTTTTTATGATCTTCTAACTTATTCGAGATTATATTCGCCGTACTTTCTGACATTTCTTGTGGTATATTATTGTCTGAATGTAAGAGAGCTTCAGCTCTTGCTAACCATCTACCAACTTCTCCTAATTCTCCCGGTAACACTGAATCAAGTAACCAAAGCCAATGCAGCATCTAGAGAAAAATGATATTTTTTAAAAAGAAATTCCTGCAACGTTAAGTTCTATTCGTTCAATTAGAGAAACTACAAAAAGTTGACATAAATTTCAAAACCTACAAAGAGTTCCATTTGTTGCCACAACATTTGTATATGTCTCCAAGAATCTCGTGTGATACTTATCATACTAGGTGTATCGACCAAACTTTGCATCTTTTTATATATAATTGATTTCTCATCAGTCTCTGCTCTAAACAGCGTATATTCCTAAAAAGAATATAAAGAATAATATATTTTTATTTTTATTTTCTTATCTTTTTTTAAATCAAAATATTATGATTTGCCAAACATTAATTTTAATGATTAAAGTAGAATCACATAAATGATTTCGTTAAAATATTAAAATTAAGATTTATGTAAAGATATCTGTTGAGATATTATGAAAGTACCGGGTAACTTTGTGGATAGGCATTTGTTCTATCAAGTTGTTCGAGATGCCTGACTCTCTCATTTAGCCATTTAAGAAGATTGTCATATTCTTCTTGTATAGCTGCGAAAGAATCAGGAGCTGTGTTTCCTGGTTCTGGATATTTGTGCAAAAATTGGGCAACGTATGTCATAATCGATTTTTCGTCGGGTTGCGGTACGTCCACGTCCTCAGGATCCAACAATCGGGCAATACCTAATTCGATCTCGGCAACCTGGAAGGCTGTTTCTAGCCGAGCTTTATTCGACGCTTCTCTCATAGCTGCTATGTTTACTAAATTAGCCTTTATGGCATCGATAATGGCTAAGAAAGCATTTCCGTCTCTCCAACTTTCTCCAAAGTCTCGAACTTTAATACCAACATCTCTAAGGAATCCATCCCGACATAATATTATTAAAAAAATATAGTTGTATTACACAAATAGTAATTTAAAAGTACTGACTTCGGCAAGGCATTGGTGACCCATTGAAGCAAGGTTTTCCGTGCACTTTGCTTCCACTTTTCGCTGCTGATGCGTTTTCTTTCGCTTGCCGCCGAACCCTGAGTACCAAGGCTTTCGAGGCTGCTCTGACTGCCCCATGTTTGTCCAAGATACTCGAGGGCTCTAGTATTCTCCTCGATCTAAAAAAAAATTCCGAGGACTGGTATGATGTTTCCTCTCCTTGTCGAGTCTAAAGATAATCTAGCGTGCGTCCTAATAGAATGCGCAACATCATGCCGGTGCAATCTTACTCTTTTAGAATGATCATTCATCGCATTCAAAATCTTGTTTTTTTTACTACTCACCCGCTTGCGATCCTTCGATCGTAGCTTGTTTATTGGAATACATATAGTTAGCAGAGTGACATAATTTACTTTACTCGCAACAAGGATTAATTTATTCGAAGACATTTAGTCATGATTGTTTAATTTGTAGAAAAAGCATTATTCAGTTCTTATCATAATTCACATAATTTAAAACTTACTTTGTTAAAATAAAATTATGTAATTTTTAATATATCTCAGAATTAAATTTTGTTTAATTACTAACTATAATTGGTAAGATGAGTTACTACGATTATTACAGCTTGAACAAGAAAATTAAAAAGTATAAATTAATCTTCGTTGCGGCGGTATAAGAATGTGGTGTTGCTGCAATTTGTTGAAGTACTTTAATACGTGATACGAGCGCTATATTTAAGCAGCTACCGCATACTAAGTATACTGGTGCTTTTTTGCATAAAAAAATATCATTAAGTATAAACTAAAATATTCGAATGATATAATACCTGGAAATACAAAATGATAGTCCATATTAGGCCCAATACTACCGGTGGTCGTCCGTCGACCAAATCAGATGAATTTATATTCACTAATTTGATCTGTGAAAATATTAAATATAGAAATTGGCTGTCGATTTCTTCAACGATTAAATTAATAGAAATACTCACTTTCTTGCCTTGTAAAAATTGCAACGCAGTATTGGCATTACTCAAGAAATGCGGTCTCTTTAGATTACGGCCTCTCTCTACAGGCTGAAAGATCATGTTTTAGACAACTGGTTTTAATGTTTTTTTTACAAACGCAAATATTTCATTACCAGTTTCTCTCCTGAAAGAACTTCGAGTAAGGCGAGAAGACGCGTGCCGTCTTTAAGATCTTCGATTAAATCATCGATACGAAGCGGAGGAACTCTCTACAGAAAACAAATATTTACCAATTGTGTAATCACGATGGATTATATATTCTTCAAATATATGAGTAAGAAAAACATTGTGTAATTTAAAAATATTAATTATTAAATTATATATATCTAGTGATGATAAAAATTGCCACATATTCGAAATTTAATGTTATATAATGTTATATAATTTATTAAATACTTATAATTTAATATTTTTTAATTTATATATAATAATATTTAATACTTTAATTACAAGTCTAAATTTAAATTGGCTCTTGAAATATTAACAACAAATAACATAAAATAAAAAAACGCAAGAATCTTAAAACGCAGTAATTGATGCGCATATACAAATACATTTTGACAGTGTCTACTGATCTATTACATAAAATAAAATAAATAACTGAACTTTCACTGTATTCAAGCCTTCTGCACTGTATTCAATCTTCAGCAGTCTCCAATCATAGAAAAATTGTTCACATTCACATGTTCAACAGTATAGTAGCAATACGTGTGCTTACTTATTGCACTTTTTCAAATAAATTCAGCACTGACTGCAGTTTGCATACTGCAATTTGTGCTATATATTGTGCTAAGTTAAACTTTTATTGTTTTCACTTTAATTTTTAAATTGATATGCTGCCTAGATCAATGTTACTTGTTCTTTATTTGATGATACACGATTTTTTTATTGAAATAGCTATTTGGTACGAGGACGAACAAGGTGCTCGCCTTCAATAATTTTGTTGCCTTTGATGCATACATGTTACGAGTTGGGTTTCCGCAGTAAGGCAAGTTTTGAAGGATGCGGAAGTAGGGGAGCATCGAAACTCAAGAGCCAGGTACGGGCTAAATCAGCCGTTCAAGTTTCGATAACACGATACGAGAGGCAGTCCACGTCACGTTTTATTATGCGTCACGTAAGGATCGAGAGCATTACGTAACTTCGAATGAGAAAAAAACGAGAGTCAACTCATTACAAACTGTCGTTGTATTATCAAGTACTTGGCGGTGAAACGGAGCACGATATCAAAGTGCTATTTGCCATGTATGAATCTGTTTCATTGCGTTTTCTGAAGGTGACAAAAAAAAGTATTTTTTCTTGACACACTTACCTTCGAGAGATGAGAATTGATCCAATTTATGAAGGTTTTCTTTTGCACGCGTTCTTGTTCGTCTGAAAAAAGAAACGAGAAACAAATTTTAATTTTGCGCTGTAAATTAATTCGAAGAGAATACATTTTCGTGAAATTAAAGAGCTGGAATATTACGATATATGTTTCTGAAAGAACGGATATAAATTATTCATTCAGATATCTATATATATATTTGATAAATGTTGAGCTGAAGAAGAACATATGGAAGTGTTCACGATTGCTTGTGGGCATTTGTGAATCGTCGAGTTCAATTATAAGGATTATGCGAAATACATTAGCGCCGTTTTATTTTTAAAGCTGCCGTCACTTTATTATATCTTACCAGCTATGGTGCCGTATACGTCGCACTACAGGCACACGCGCGATAATGAATATGCAACTAGTATTAATTCACAGGCGCATGATCGCGAAGCGAACATTAAACTGTCACGTAAATTATTTGTGCGATATGCACGTCCTTAACGCGATTCGGCAGGAAGAAAAACTAATCATACAAGTCGACAAACAAGTCGAATACAGTTGACGAATGCGCTCTATTGCATAGAGACTTTAAACTCTTCTCAAAATGCAAGAATTCTTTTCACGTATTTTTCTGCTTTATTATATTCTTTATTATTTTCTTTGGAGCAATTGAAAAAATTTCTTGGTAAAAATATCTCATATTTCTCTCTATTTTAATAATTTATTTTTTTTTTTCACGTATGAAAAAATGCCAGCCGGGATGATGTTTATCTTTCAATAAAGATATCCCGGACCATAATAATATTTAATATGTGCATATTATTGAGATTTTTTTTATTCGTCGACACACATCTGCTTACGAAATGACATTGATTCCTGGAAGCAAAAATTTGCGGTTCCCGAAATAAAACGGCTTTGATGTCACCAGCAGACACTAACACTGTTGCCTTGAAACAATGTTTCTTTTCATCAAGTCTTTCACATGGCGGCATATTATATCTTCGTGTCGTAATGCGATCGTTTTGCATACACATTACGTGCAGTCTGTAAGCTACAAAAAAATTACTGTCGGTAATTAACGAAAACACGTTGCTTTATTCTACGTTGTGCCTCTGATTTATGAATCAAAGAATCGTCAGAAGTTTCTTCTTTCGTTTGATCTCATATTCAGAAAACGCTGCATAAATCGGACTTCTTGATATAAGTTTGCGCGTTAATTTTTCTGTAAGTATAAAAATTGCCTTGGAAAATATGGGCGTGCAAGTTTAATAAATTTGCAGTTTCTGCTCGAGAAAATATTCACATGAGTTTTTGCTCTTTATATTACGTTGTGAATTCTCTTTTCGATAAGATTAATGAGAATATAGTACGTAAAAATAAGAAACGCTAAAGGCGATGTAATCTCGAATATACAAGAATTATTAGAACGTTCTTGTGGAATAAGGAAAATTTATAGAATTTATTAACATACTTTTAGCGACTTAGATGAGGAATACTGACCTATTGAACTTTCGCGATGTATGGGGAACTGTAAGAAACTATTATCATCGGTTTTTATCGTTACTTTATCCGCGGTAGATGTTTAATCGTAACCACGAGACGTAGGCGAAAGTTGCAGACCACATTGCATTATGGTGCAGTCCAGTAACATTGAAAAGGCAGGATATTCCCACGCGTTCTCATTATCATTCATCGTGAGTGTCATGGTTACGGTAAATCGTTCGGCAAAACACACGTGAGATGTAGTGCCTGCGATACATACATTTGATGCATAACGATAATTTTCGAGGGTTCACTTTCATGTCTACACTCAACACACAATGTCAAAAGTGAGATCATGTAAAGCACAGATTTTATTAGCGACCAATTAGTTTTTTTAAAAGATAATATACTAAACTTTCATTATGAATAAGATAATTGTAATGATAAATAGTCTTCCTTCAAGCAGTTTTTAATGTCTAATTTTTTATAAATTAACATTTTCTAAAAACTCAAATAATATTTTATAACAAATTATATGTTAGTTTAGAACTAATTATATATAGAACTACTCGATTGTTTGACACAGCAAACAAATTAAATACTACCAATAAACGAGCAAAATTAAAATGTTAATATTTTATATATATATATACAGTATATATATGTGTGCGCGCGCGCGCGCGTATGTGTGTGTGTATTATATGAAGAATTATGTTTAGAGATTTAGAGATTTAGAGAAATAAATAAATGTCACTGTTATTTTTTCTGTTTGAAATAATTTTATATGTAATAGCCGATATTTCAAAAATGGTTCAAAAATTACTTCAAATATAACAATTATTGGTTCAATAAATAATTTTAATATTTGAGATGTTTGAAATAAAGGTGAAAAATTGATGATATAACTAAAATATGTATAACTTTATATTATAATCATATAATACTGGCTCACAAATATAATTACAACAGAATGATTAGAATAAGTTAATAATTGATCTTCATTCGTATGATTCATTTGAGTTGTTTTATAATACGACATCATTTAATATAGTGTGTAATTTCAACCGTTTGTAAGAAGCTCGCGTTTATATCATTTCTAATTTTAAATTCAGCCGTTCGAGGCGTGATGCGCATGAAAAAGTCCACTAAACATATTCTCGCTTTCGAAAATATCTGAAATTGCATCGCGTAAAGTGAATTTTGTATGATGTTTGTCGGACGTTTATGTCCGCCAACATCCAAAATAAATACCGTTTTAAACAAGTGGAAATATTATTCTGTAAAGCGCATGCCACTCTCATCTTCTAGAGTAATGTTTAGGATTCTGAGACAAGATGATCCGCGATTATGTCACCAGTGTTATGAGAATGAGAATCCGCTACCTGCGTAATCGTCTCAACCAACCGATGTACCTTTACTTGTGATCGAAAAATTGTTTGCGTAATAACAGATTCAATTACTGGAATCGAAAAATATTAATCACGGATATTAATACCAGATGACATTCATTAGGAATCGATATCATAATTTTTCCTTGCTTCTATCTTTACCCGCTTTTTCTGCCTGCGTGTTTTTTATTTTTGTTTAATGTTATTCCGTATATCAATTTTTTTTGTATATTTTTTTATAAATTTGGCTGCTATATATGAGTCATAAAATATGTTTGAGAAAAATCGCGTTTGGTTTTTGAGAATATAATATATAATAATCATATATCACAAATATCATTATGAAACTGTGCCAACATAATTTTAATCATGCAGTTGGCTCACAATCAGTTTTATAATGTATTTGTTTAATCGTTTTCATCATTTTAAAAAATAAAAATACAGATGTTATTGTATGTAATCTCTTTAAAGATGCTTAATTTGTGTTTGTCTCTTTATCAATTCTTGGAATATTATTTTATATATCATGTATAGAGAAAAAGTGCATCTTTATTGTAATCAGAGAAATATAAAATATCGATTATATAAGTTTAATTTCAACCGACCGTATATCAAATGTCATGATTTCTTCTGTTTTCGTGACAATTTCAGATGGTACAGCACTCGTTCCGTTCATGTGTTTGCCTGTGAGAAACTGTTCCGAAAAAAGAAATACTTAAAAGCGAATGGGTCTCATTATACAGTGTCACGGAAGGTAACTGTACGGTCATAAAAATCACGTAGCAACAGGAAATCTCATCCATTGTGTATTTATCACAAACGAAAGTTTACGGGTTAAGAACCAGAATGAGCGCGGATTAAAAATGTGTCTTAAAAATGTGTCTCAATTTTACGATTTATAAATTTCCTAGCAAACTTTGAAGCTTTTTTATTTATAAATCGAGAAATGAAATAGATTGCAAATCGTACTTTTTAAATTAATTTTAAAGAAACTTTATTTTAA